TTTTTTTTTTTTTTTTTTTTTTTTTTTTTTTTTTTTTTTTTTTTTTGTGCCAGGGATCGAACTTGGGTCCTTGTGCTTGTTTGGCAGGCGGTGGAACCACTGAGCTTAATCCCTGGTCCCCTATCACTTGATTTCTTGATGACAGTCACTCTTCCCGGGGTAAGATAGAGCCTGTGTTCATTTGCACGTCTCTAATGGCCAGGAATGTCGAGCATCATGTATTTCTTGGCCATCCGTACTTCTGCGGAGTGTGCGTTACCCATTTTTGATTGGGCCTTTTATTTTGGGGGCGTCTAACTTTTTGAGTTCTTTATATATTCTAGATACTAGTGCTCTTGTGATATGTGACAAGGCTGGCTGGTAAAGCAAGTAGGCCCTTGTTATAGCTTGTGTCCAGATTTCCCCCCAAAGCCTCAAATAGTTTTTGTTTTGTTTTGGGTACCGGGGATCGAACTCGGGCCCTTGTGAGGCAGGTGACTGAACCACTGAGCTAAATCCCAGCCCTCATATAGTATGTTTTGAAGGTAGCTAAATCTGGGACCTGTGATGTTAGGATTCAGGGCGTGTGATTACTAAACCACTACACGAGTGTAGTCTGAATTCCGGTGGTCTGAATAGGATAAAAGGAACAGAAAGATGCTGTTTAAGATTGCCTGTTGCCTTTGCTACTTGGTGTGTGCCGTGTTTGTCTCCTCTGTGAGGCCCGTTTGCCATCCCTGCCTTGGAGCGAGCCAAATGTGGACTGAAACCTCTAAAACTCTGAGCTAAATAAACCCTTCCCCTTTAACTTTGGGTGGCAGGTATTTCGGCCAGCAATGACAGAAGAGTAACTGACACAGAACTGTTGTTTCCAGACTCCAGGACAGCATCAAATAATTCCCAGGACCCCGTATGTAAAATTTCTCACAGGTTCCCAGAAGTGTGGATGACATGTGAGGATACAGGCGCCACACGGAGCCTCACTATTCTTACTCCTCACAGTAGCCCATTCTGTGTCTTCCAGACCAGGGTTTACTTTTATTTTGCCCCTTTCCTCTCTTGTCCAGCCCAGGCTCACTCCGCAGAGCCAGTTTTTCCCTTACCCTTCACTCCTCACCATTATTGGCTTCTCACACTCAATACTTGAGGCAAGGACCTAGGAGATGTACGACTGGCGAGCCCAGAACTACCCGCTAACACCCTGAGGACTGCTTTCCCATTCTGCAGGCTGTCTCTTCACTGGTGGGTGTTTCCCTTTGCTGTCAGAAGCTTTTGGATTTGACGTGGTCCTTTTGTTGGTTCTCGGTACGATTTCCTCCTGACTCCATTTCGCACACTCCACTCGCTCTGCTGCTCCCTTCACCTAGGAAGGCCCTGTGTCCTCTGCACTGGCTCCTTGCAGACATTTTGTGTCCTTGTCCCCTGACCTCCAACTCCATCTGGCCTGCACTCTAGAGGGACAGTCACAGGGCAGGTGAGTGGCCCTACATCTGTCTTTGACACCACCAAATAACTGTCAATCCCGCTGGCCTTCTTTGGAGGTCCTTACAGTCTCTGATTCACACTTGAGACACCCCATGCTTCAGTTCCCTGTTATGGTTTGGATCTTGAATGCCCCCCAAGGTCCACGTGTTGAAGGTTTGGGCCTCACCTGTGGGGCTACTGGGAGCTGGTGGGACCTTTAGAAGGTGGGGCCTTGAAGGAGGAGGTAATGTCACCAGAGGAAGTGAAGCCACTGGTGGAGTGGCCTTCAAGGGGCTATCGAGACTCTCATAAATAGGAGATGTGTCTTCGCCCAGGGCTTCTGTCTATTCTGTCTATGGAGTAGCTAGCTGTGATTCTTTCCTAATAAAATTTTAGTTTGTTTTCACCTTAAAAGTGAGCCACATCTGATTTTCCTCTTATGGGTAGCCAAAAATTCCCACAGGGAGCACTGAGCTACATCTCCAACCCATTTTTTCTGTGGGGGGCAGGTACCGGGGATCTAACTCAGGCCCTTGCACTTGTCAGGCAGGCGGTGGAACCACTGAGCCAAATTCCTGGCCCTCCAACCCATTTTTCTTAATTTTTATTATCTCACTAAGGTACTCAAACTTGTGACCCTCCTGACTCAGCCTCCTGAGTAACTGGGATTACAGGTGTGCACCTCCAATGTTTCTTCCTTTTAAGTTGATTATCAGCTATTTGGTCACAGTGATGAAGGGCTGCTAGCATGCCCTCCCTCTAATGACCAACAGGGGTCCACTGCTGTCTTCAAACCACTGAAGTTGCAGCCTGTCTCCTCTTCTGCCTTAGCGGGGACCCAGCCACCATCTCTGCTGTGCCAGCCAGGCTCTGGGTCCCTCCTACCCTCTCCTCCAGGCTTGGCTCCTTCATTTCTCCTCACCCTCCCACATCAGCTCTCTGCTCCTGAAGCTAGATTTGCTCATTCCATTCAGCCAACAGATGCCCAGCCGAGCTCTGCGATAGGCCCGGCAGGCACTGTGCTGGACACCATAGAGGCGGCCATCAGCCAACCCGACAGCCGCCGTGGCCTCTTGGCACTTCCATTCTAGCTGGGAAAGAGACTCAGCCAGCAAATGAGCAAGCTGCACATCACACAGTGGCCAGAGGAGGCCTGTGGAGAGACACACGGCAGGGTGGGGGACATGGGGGCGCTACTTAATGGAGGACGCTCTGGGAGAAGCAGCCGTGAGATGTCGAGATCTCGTACCTGCATGTCCCCCTCAGCAAACACACGATGAACACCGCAGGCTTCCCCGGGGCTGCACTGTCCTCTATCTCAGCCCCAGCCCTAGCCATCTCAGGAACAAGGTAAGACGGTCACCTCGGGGGCTGGTTCTCCTCCTGTCTCCCACACTCACAACCCTTTCAAATTATACTTAATGCCCCCCATCTCGGTGCCACTTGCAGCCTCCCACCTCTGCCCTCACCTTCCCGACCTTTCCAGAACATTCAGTACTGTGTGTCCATCGCTCTGGGTGTCTCTGACTCTGGGCTCCTGCCCGTCCTTCCCTCAGAGCTCCCAAGCAGCAAGTCCTGACCCATTCTCTGCCCCAACCCCGGTTCCTCATCTTCTACAGTCATCTCTGCACGGTGACTCTTGTCGCTTTACATGGCCTGGCACCAGTCCTCTCCGGCAGCCCCTCCCCAGTTCCAGATACAATCCACCCAGGAATCTGCCTTGTACCCTCGCCTTCTGGAGGCCACCTCCCTATGGCACAGTGGAGGCCACCTGCTTGTCTCCACCCACAGGCCCCCACTCCCCATGCGGACCTGCAGAAATGCCACAGGGTTGCCTCAGTCACAGCTGGCATCTGTCTGCTGTCCAGAACCAACTGAGGCTCCATAGGGCAGAAGAGGGCCGGGGCTCCTCAGGATAGGGCTGGGGCATGCTGGAGGCCCGGATTCGCTCCCAGCACAGCAAACGCAAAAACAATACACAGCTCCCCACCAACTCTTTGGAAGCCCCACAGTGCGCCCCTCCAAGTGCTCCCTGAGCACGGGTCTTGGGCCCTCCTGTCCCCCTTATCCCCTGAAGGACTGGAGGGCAAGGGGCAGGCTTGTGGCAGCCACAAGCGCGGTGTCTCCCAAGAAAGGCAGTGTCAGGGCCAAGCATCCTGTGCTATTCAACTGCTACTGCTGCTACTGTAACAGTAGCAATCTATGTCATCGTGGCCTTAATGGCGCTTTATCATTACCACCAGAAAGTGATGGAGCAACTCTAAGGCCCTAGGGCTCCAGATAACCGGGCAGGGCAGGCTCCTGGCCCTCAGTTTCCCCACTACGAGGGTGAGGTCGCACAGGGCCCGCCCCTCTGTCGCGGTGCTACGCCCATAGCAGCCTCCCCGGATCCCTTCCGGCGTCTTCATCTCTCACGACCGCTGGAGCTCAGGGAGATCCCGAGATCACACAGCAACCCTGACTGCCTCGCCCCACTCCGGCCGTGCGGAACCAGGGGTGGGGTCCCAGTTTCCAGCCGGTCGCGAAGAAAAGCACGCTTCCGGGCTGGAGCACGCCGCGGAGGCTCGCGGGCGGCGCGCGAGAGCGCTTCCGGGGTCGCTATCAGGTCGTCTTCCGGGCAGCTTCCGGGTTCGGGCTCCCTGGTTCGGGCCTCGCAGCACCCGCAGAATGAAGGCGAAGACCTCCGAGCGTACCCCGAGCCTACCTATGGCCCAGCCGGGGCCTGCCAGGAAGCTCACTGGGAAGAAAAATAAGAAGAAACGGTTCTGGAAGAAAAAAGCGCAAGGAGGAAGCAAGAAGGCGGGGAGTGCCCCCAAAGGTGTCGCGGGGCGACCTCCCAAGGCCCCAGAAGACTTCTCTCAGAACTGGAGGGCGCTGCAAGAGGTGAGGCCGGAGAGGGCCCGGCGGCGGGCGCGGTCTCCCGGGCTGTACTCGGGTCTCCGCCGAACACACGGAGGAGAGACGCGGGGGCCCCGGAAGCTCCCGTCGAGGCCGGTTTGAGTCCAAGGAGTGCGGAGAGCCGTTCTCGGGAGAAGCAGCCTCTTCCGGGGAGGAAGCGGGCTTGCCGGGTAGCTAACAGCAGGCACGTAGTGTAGAGGAGTCCTGCAGTTTAGGACTTTCAGAGCTTGGAATCGGCACCCGGGGGACAACAGGTGTCCAGACGCCCGGCCTTGGGTTATCGATGCAGTGTGTGCTCTTTGGTCATCCCCTCAGAGACGTTTTCCTCTTCTCACAGGTGAGGATGTAGGCCCAGATAGAGTAATAAATTGTCCAGGATTCCTACTGAGAACTAGCTCTCAAACCCAGGCCCTGTGACCCAGGAGTCCAGGCTCTTAACTCTGTGTGTGGTCACCCACGCTGCTGCAGAGGTCGCTCCCTGCTTCACATAAAATTGTGTGTTCCAATAAGATAAGCAGGAACATACTTACATTCATTACATGTACATTCTTGCATCCTGCAGAGAGGATATTTGGACACAGAGAGAGCGAGCCTAGGGAACTTGGCGTAAGGTCACACAGCCAGTAGTAACTGGCAGAACTGGGAGGCAGATTCACACATTCTGACCTGAGTTTGTGCTGTGCTGCTGCTGACCCTCAGAGAAGTTTCTGGAGCGCCTCTCATGGAACCACAGTGAGCACTAGAGGGACAGAATAAAGAACTTCTTGAGCTGAACACTCTGCCTGGCATCTTAATGTGGGCGACCCTAATAACTTATGTCTTGGCCCAGGCCGGGCAGAGCTCCGTGGGCAACCTCACAGTTCTGCGGGACTTCCTAAGCGCCAGCTCAGGCTCTTTCTCTCAAGAAAGTAAAGCAAAATTAAATGAGTAGGAGGGAGAAGTTTGAGATTTCTCTGATTTCTGTCAGAAAGTAAGTCTTCTTGATCTTTTACTGTTAGGGGAGCAGGTAAGTAGAAATCTACCTCATGTCTCAACTAGTTGCTGCCTGCCAAGGTCTTAACTGGGGATTTGAGTACAAGAAGTGGGGCATTGGGCTCTAAGACTTGAGAGCCCATCCTGGGAGAGACCAGCACCTCCAATTTGACAGTAGCTTTTCTTTCCGCTCCTCCATCTTCCTGGAATCCTGAGTAACAGCAGACCCAGAGAGAGTATGAAGGAAGTGGCCACTGTGCTCCTCAGTGTAAATCTGGGCTGTGAGAGAAGTGATTTAAAATCCACCCATTGGAAACAGGCTTCTCATCCCTGCCTTGGCCCTGGGCAACATGCTCTGTGTTGCTTAGTCACTGAACAGGCACCTAAGGTGTGGCCTATGAGAGTGAATTTTACAGAAACAAAAGTGCAGGTGTAAAATTATGCATTCCAGTAAGATAAGCAAAGAAAAAGCATCTCACTGCTGGTACTTAGAGGTGAAAGTAAAAAGGTGGCCTTTTCAAAACACCAGAAAGATGCCAACAGGAAATATGTGTAGGTATTGTGGATACACAGGGAAATCTTTTCAATGTTTCATGTCATTTCCAAATTAAAACATGTCTTGTATTTTATTCTGGACCCCATTAGCTGCTGAAACAAAAATCACAAGTCTCGGAAAAGCCTCCTGTCTCTCAGATGGATCCCCAAAAGCAGCCCAAAATTATCCAGCAGAACAGAAAGATCTCAGAGAAACGAAAGGAAGACGAGAAACCAAAAGAAAAAGACCAGGCGGGCACTGGGCACTCTGTTCCCTCTGCATCTAAGAGGGACAGGAAGGTGCCACTACCTGCCACAAAGACCAACGGAACAGAGTATAAGAAGGGAGCCCAAAAAAGGACAAATGGTGACATTTCCTCAAAACCAGGGGACATCAAGCATAAGAAGCGGAAAGCTGAGGAGGCAGCCGCGGCCTCTTCCTCGGCCCCGCCCACGGAGTGAGTGTTGGCCGTCTCTGCCCAAGCCTCTGCAGTGGAAATGACACAGCTCCTTGGCCACCACTGCTGCAGCCAGGGACGGCCCATGCACCACACCTGGCCTCCACTGTCCTCACCACAGGCGCAGGCCACGTGGCTGAGTGTGCCGCTCTCCTCTCTCCCGTCACTAGTCTCGCCTGCCTGAATGTCTGTGTCTTCATTTCCTTGAGTCTTACTTTAATCCACTCCAGCCCAGATAGGCTGCTTATCACTGCCTCGGCGCAAACTGGGCCCTTAGGAAGGCACCAGTCGGAACCCATGGCATGAATGAGTGTTGGAGCCTGAGTGGGAAACCCACCCTAGCTTCTGGCTGGCTGGGGATCCTGGGTGTGGCCATCTGAGGAGTCTCAGGAGACTGAGCGACTGGTGTGCTGGGCCCAGTGCCTCGTGACTGCTTAATAAGCACCATGGCAGTCCTTTGCGTGGGCAAAGCTGGGAGCTGGTGGCTCTCTGAACGGCTCAGCTGGAGGAGTCATTCTTGTGTGTCAGAGGCTGCTTCCCGTCGTCTGGGTGTTCAGGGCCGTTGTAGAAGGCTGAGGGCACAGGGTTTGGTGCCTCCCAGTGTGGCGCTAGACAAGCCGTCAGGACAAAGCAGTGAGCAGGGTGGGCAGCATGCAGGGGAGACAGCTGCTTCAGTAGCTACATGAGTGAGGGGATGGGAGCACGTGGCTGGGGGCTCCTCCACTGTGTCGGGCAGAGCCTGAGAGCTGGAGCTCACCAAGCAGTGGCACAGGCACCACCATGGGCATCTCTGTCCACTTTGTGGTTCTACCCCCTGAGTTGCCTGACCATTTGGTAGTGAACCTGTTACTGTGTACTTAGATTATGTCAGCCATCATTCTATTTAACAGTGGGCTTCCTGTTCTTGGTTTATAGTCTTTGTGTTTATCTGTGCCTTCTAAACCTTGGATAATAAGCACGTTTGCTAATTGGAAAAGTAATGACAGGAAACTGCCAAGATTAGGCAACAGGCACAGCTGGGCCAGGTGTTTGCAGAGGGGGTGGGGGTGGGCTGAGCCACATGCTGTGAGCTCACCAGTGACACAGAGCCCGGGCCCGGAGGGGGACCTGCCCTTCTGGTGGCCAGCTGCTCTTGTCTTGCTTTTAGGGAGGACATCTGGTTTGATGATGTGGACCCAGCCGACATCGAGGCTGCCATAGGCCCGGAGGCAGCCAGGATAGCAAGGAAGCAGCTCGGGCAGAAGGAGAGCAGCATCAGCCTGGAGAAGGAGCAGGCCTTTGACGGGTACGTGGGCCTCAGCCCAGGGCTGGGAGCAGCCTCCCTCCAGGGCAGAGGCTCTATGGGGACGCAGGAGTGGCATGCGTGCAGGGCTCTGGCCTGGCATCTCGGCCCGGGTGCTCATTACATGGAGCCTTTGGTCCCCAGCCTGACGAAAGCCTTGGCCTTGGACTGCGAGATGGTGGGCGTGGGCCCTCAGGGGGAGGAGAGCATCGCCGCCCGCGTGTCCCTTGTGAACCAGTACGGGAAGTGCGTGTACGACAAGTTCATCAAGCCGACCGAGCCTGTGACGGACTACAGGACGGCCGTCAGTGGGGTGCGGCCCGAGCACCTTGGGCAGGGTAGGACAGCAGGGTGTGGGCACGGGCTGGGCAGTCCTGGGATTTTCTGTTCCTTTCTCTTAGGACACCCAGGACCCCAAGAGTCCTAGCACTTTTTAACCCCACCCAGCCCCCGCCACACTTAGTCACCTACACTGGGGACCAAGGTGGGGTGTGTTAGGGACGAGGGTAAAGCCACTGGGGACAGACCACAGGGTCTCTTAGCAAGCCCTGGAGGTTGGTGGAGTCACAGGTGGGAGCATGGTTCTGGAACTCTTCCTTCCAGAGGTGAGGTGGGAGGGCGGTCCCCAAAAGGGCATTGTGGAGACGTCTTAGAGCCAGGGTCTGGGGCAGCATGCTGCCTGCTTCCCAAGGGTAAGGGCTGGCTGTTTGGGGGACGGGGGTGGCCTGGAGACAAGGTCCTGCTGAGTAGTTCGGGTTGCTCTTGGACTCACGGTGTAGCCCCAGCTGGCTTTGAACTTGCAGTGATCCTCCTGGCTCAGCCTTCCAAGTGCTGGGATTGCAGGCGTGTGCCAGAGCGCCCTGCAAGGGCTGGTTTTATTTCTACTTAGAAAATTACAAAGTTCAAGCCCCGAAGCACTATTAGGTTGAGTTGAAGCCCTCAGACACCTGGGCCCTGACAAGGCTGCACAGCAGTGCCTGACATGGGGGGGATCCAGGGCACATGGATAGTGGTCCCTGCCAGGCGCTGCTGACGCTGGCCGGTCTCCAGTCTGGTGGGGCTGCCTCGTGGAGGATGGCAGTGATTTATGGGTTTTGGAAAACCATGTCTTTGCTTTGATTTTCAGGAGAAGAGCTTGAAGTTGTGCAGAGCGAAGTGGCAGAGATGCTGAAAGGCAGGATCCTGGTGGGCCACGCACTGCACAATGATTTAAAGGTACGCCATCCCGGCTTTGGGTCCACTGTGCCCCGTGCCATCTCCAGAAGTGCTTTTAAGGGGCTTTTTATCCTGGAGTTTGTGCCCTGTGTCAGGAATCCTCTGCTAGTCGTGTTGAACACCTGCATCTGGTGCTGTGTTCCAGGAGCCACAGCAGGCACTGAGGCTCCGGTGCCAGAGCAAATGCAGGAGACTGGCTGAGGTGCCCAATGGGATCTCTTGAGGGACACCTGCTGTGTCACCCTGCGGAGAGCCTGCTGCCCGGTGCTCACAGCGAACTGGTTTACACCAGCAGAGCCCTTGTGGCTCTCGCCTGACTGACCAGCCCAGTTTCTGCCTATGTGCCACTCTGGTGCCGGAAGCCCAGTGCTGGTTATGGGGCCGGGGTCCTGTAGGTTCACAAACAGCTGCATGGTCTGTTGAGAGGAAGCAGCCGGACCGTGGTGTGCTTGGCGGGGAGAGCTCCCCCTCCATTCTTCCCTGGGCCACCTCTGTACAGTGCCTCCTGATCCCCTGTAGCAGCCTCACCTAATCTTGTAGAACTGCCAGAGGTCTGAGCTGCACTCACAGACAGCAGAGCTGATTCTCAGCGTTCCCAAGTGCGGTGCTTGGTGCAGACCAAGTTGCCTGCTTCCCTTCCAGGGAAGGCCTCAGACACACTGACAGCCAGCCTCGGGTGGGGCAGGGGTGGGTGCTGGCCGAGTGGAGGTTGCAGAGGCCACGGGGCTCCTTCCCGCCCACCTGAGGGCCCTCACTGTAGGAGGCGAGGTGGGCCAGCAGCATGCACAGGTTCTCCACCACCTCGGAGTCGTCTCTGTAGAGCTGGTAGGTCTCCTGCAGCAGGCTGAGGCCACTGCCGCCCTCCTCCAGTGCCACCACCCGGAAGGCCGCCAGCTCTGGGAGGGAGGCAGGAGCTTAGCCCCAGCTTAACTGGGAGATGGGTGACAGCAACACCGATTTCACTGGGTCACTGAGTTCGGTGCTCAGGCCCGGGGACCAAGGCCCAGCTCTTCCCCGCCCCTGCTCGCTGTAGATTTTTGGAAAGAGGGTTTCTGCCACCTGTTTCCCAACTGCAGCTCTGCACCCACCACCTGGCACCCAGGCAGCAAAGGCCCTGGCTCCTGCAGGGGGTCTGCTGGGTGCAGAAGTTGGGGTGCTGGGTCCATGAGGCCTGTCCTGTGAGGTCAGGCCTTGAGTGCCAGCTGTGAGTGCTCCCGCGCCCAAGGGCAGTGTAGCGTCTACACCTTTCCCCAAGGGGGAGACTGAGGCTCCCAAAGGCGAGGCGCCTTGGATGCCACATGGGTTGGGTCTACCCAGGCTGCCACTGGGGCCTGTTCCCTTGGTCTCATGACCCAGATTCCTGGGATGAGCCTATGCCAGGCTGGGTCCCCTTCACAGCCCAGCCGCCAGCATGCCAGGGCATGCAGCCTCCAGCCTTTGCCCTTTTAGGGGTCTGCTGATGACAGCCCCGTAGGCAGACAGAACAGTGTCCGTCCATGGTATTGTGGCTCCTCAGTACTCCACAGGACCTTAGAGGCCTCAGACCTCTGAATTTGGGGCTAGGCAAGAGCTCAGTGGCCGAGCACATGCTTATTAGCATCTATACACCAAAAAGATAAAAATAAAATGTTTACTAAAAACTAACAAGTCACCTGTCCACTCGTGCATGGAGTCATCTTCAGAAATGGCCCCCAGGGCAACGTATCCCCCTGCAGAGTTGCTGTGTACAGGCCGTGTGCCAGGCTAGACTGGGCTGGGGTTGCAAGATGAGCTGTTGAAATCTCACTTCCGACTTCCCCAAGTGCAGAATCAACTCAGTCAGTTGACCGTTTTTCTCCTACTTCCTCACTTTCAAGATTTTATTAATGCGGTTCTGTTGGGCAGCACTGTTAAGTCCGGCTCATAATTCCTTCCATAAGTTCAGGTTCACACCCTTTCCTCGTTTTGGGGAGTGTTGTACACTGGGTTCCTCTGTAAGATGTTATTTGCAAAAAGGTTTCTGCTGCCACAAATTGAAAATGCTTATCGTTATTTTCCTCTAGGTGTTGTTTCTTGATCATCCAAAGAAGAAGATCCGGGACACACAGAAATACAAACCTTTCAAGAGGCAAGTGAAGGTACTTAGACCTGTGGGCTTGGGGTCAGGGGCTGTTTGTTCTGGTCTCTGATAGCTGACTTGAAGCATTTTTGTTTTGTTTTTCCCTTTCAATCTCTAAAAGGAACCTAGAAGGTAGGGCTGGGGTGCTGCTCAGCGTAGCGCTGGCCCAGCACACACGAGCCGCCCCGCTCCATTCATTGCCAGCCTCGGGAAAGCATGGGGTGGGTCAGCTCTGCACACAGCACTGTGCGGCTTCACTGACCGGCCCGCTGGTGTGGCTGCAGTGCCTACAGCTGTAGGCTGCTTGGGTCGGGCTCAGTAGCCAAGCTTGTCCGCACCTCGGGCAGAGCTGTGCAGATGCCTGCCCAGAGTGCCGGGCACCTACTCCTCTCTTCACAGAGCGGAAGGCCCTCTCTGAAGCTGCTTTCGGAGAAGATCCTGGGGATCAGAGTCCAGCAGGCAGAGCACTGTTCAGTAAGTATCTGTGGGTGACAGTTTTCAGGATTGGTTTGTCCCTGACCCCAATATCCAGGCCTATGTCACCCGAAGGCAGACACGGGGGAGGTGGCTGGTGGCTAGGCTAGGACAGCTTTTTTAGAAGGCTGCTCAAAGAAAAAGAAAGCAAGCACAGCAGGTTTAAGTGTTAAATCTTAAAAACACAATACCAAAAAACTCTCCTAATTATCTGGAGAAAAGTTCACTAGTCTACCCGAAGGCTGTGTCAGTTTATTTTCTGTTACATTAACAAAAGACCTGAGGCTGGGTAATTCATGAGAAGAGGTTCTCCCTGGAGTTCATGGGCAAGGCGTTGGCACTGGGTCTTGAGGCCTCGTGAGTGGTACCAAAGTGGAGGGGATTGCGGGAGAGGGCGCAGTCGCGTGGCCACACAGGAAGTGAGAGGAGACACTACTACTTGCCGTCACAGCTCTTTCACAAGACCTAATGGCTCTGAGGCCAAGTCCCACCCCTCAGCACTGGGACCAGGCCCCTGGTACACAAACCCTCAGCAATCAAGCCCCCCACCCTGCCACAGGACCTGCAGTGGCCTGCGGTTGTCTGGGCTCTTTTCGCCTCTCGGCCCTCGGGCCCCAGTGCTATACCCAGCACACAACCATGGTCACGAGGGTCACCCAGTGAGCCTGACAAGGCCAGGCCTCTGCCCCTCCGCCTCAGGATCCTTTCCTTCCCTGTAGATGGGCATAGCCAGGCACAGGAGTGCAAGACAGCCTGGCATAAAGGGCTTGGCAGTCAGGCCGTAGCCGCTGTGGCCTGTGGCCGCGAGTGGTCCCCGATGGACAGTTAGCATGGCTGTGTGTTGTTCAGATCCAGGACGCCCAGGCAGCAATGAGGCTGTACATCATGGTGAAGAGGGACTGGGAGAGCACCGCCCGGGACAGGCACCCCCCGGCCCCTGCCCAGCACCGCCACGGTGAGGACGCCTAGCCCGCCCACCGCCCACCACCCTGTGGAGGCACCTGGACCCCCAGCACAGGACCAGATTGTGGCACCATCTCATCTGGAAAGCAGCAGCTCTAGCAAGCCGCTTCCAAGACCATGGGCACAGGGCATGGTGCCTGGAATGCTGGACCGGCTTCCTCTGGACTGTGTTGTGAGGGGCAGGGTGTGCAGGGGAGGGGGTGAAAGGTATGTTCGAGGCACAGCCAGGAGTCTGGGGACCCGGGTCTGAGGACTCGGCTGCTGACCACTGAAGGAAGGGACAGCTGGCTGCCCTGCTGCTCTGATGATGAGCTGTGGGCGGCTGGCCTGGTGCTGGATGGTTTCCTCTGAAGCCACTCTGCCCTCTTGTCGTGGGTGAGGAGACAGGCTGTGCCTGCAGCAGTGACTGCTGTGCAGAGCTAGGGAATTTCCTGCGGCCGTTGGGCCCTGGAGGAGGCTGTGTGGGGCGTGCTCCCCTCCAGTTTTCCTCAGTTGGCCAAGGGCTGCCGCAGACTAGCACCCAACATACTTGTACCCAGCTAGACTCGGACATGGCCACGTAGCCAGCGCCGCCCTGGTCTGGAAAGGCCATGGGCTCCAGAGGGCCACATGCTGGCAGGGCCTGGGTCCAGGGCAGGTCGGGGTGGCCGCCACATCCGTAAGGCCAGGTGAGCCCTCTGCCCCTGTCGTTGACAGACATGGCCGCTTGCTGCCAGTGGGGCTCGTGAGGCCTGCAACAGGCCCCGTATTCAATGCCCAGCTGCAAATAAACACTGCACTGTGGAGTTGTGGCTTCTACGTGTTCAGGCGCTTCCGGAGCCCACCGGGCAGGACTGTGGAGGGTACCAGCTACCTCACGGCCAGTCACAGTCGCCCCTGCCAGGACTCGAGCATAGGCAGCCAGTCCCGGGCTTTATTAAGCACTCAGGGCAACAGGGACCCTTCTCCCATCCCCACTTCTCAGGGTGGGGCCGGGAGGCCCCCCGAGAGGTCACAGGCTGCACCAGGCAGCTCCCTGTCCCCGGGGCTGGGGGCTGCCGCTGTATCCAGGCTCAGGAGCACTTCTTTTGCGTAAGAAACCAGCTTCTGGAGGAGGCAAAGGAGCAGGTCGCTTTTCCCTGCCAGCTCAAGGGCATGTACCCACCCCACTGGCCTCGGACAGATTGACAGGTCTGGTGACTGCACCGCCATAGCTCTGATTTTGGCCGCCGTGGGGCTGGACCAACAACCGTCCTTAAGGCTCCAACAGGAGCACTGGTTGTGGGCAGTGGCACTCACCAGACTGGAGGGGAAGCGGTCCTGGATGTCCTGGGCCAGTGTCCTGATGCCACTGTACTCCAGCTCTGGCAGGATGTCCTCTGTCGGGGAGCAGAGGGGCCACTCAGGCTGGGCCCTGCATATCACCCTGGGCAAGCAGCACCGTGCACGAGTGGGGCAGGGGTGGGTGCTGGCCGAGTGGAGGTTGCAGAGGCCACGGGGCTCCTTCCCGCCCCCCTGAGGGCCCTCACTGTAGGAGGCGAGGTGGGCCAGCAGCATGCACAGGTTCTCCACCACCTCGGAGTCGTCTCTGTAGAGCTGGTAGGTCTCCTGCAGCAGGCTGAGGCCACTGCCGCCCTCCTCCAGTGCCACCACCCGGAAGGCCGCCAGCTCTGGGAGGGAGGCAGGAGCTTAGCCCCAGCTTAACTGGGAGATGGGTGACAGCAACACCGATTTCACTGGGTCACTGAGTTCGGTGCTCAGGCCCGGGGACCAAGGCCCAGCTCTTCCCCGCCCCTGCTCGCTGTAGATTTTTGGAAAGAGGGTTTCTGCCACCTGTTTCCCAACTGCAGCTCTGCACCCACCACCTGGCACCCAGGCAGCAAAGGCCCTGGCTCCTGCAGGGGGTCTGCTGGGTGCAGAAGTTGGGGTGCTGGGTCCATGAGGCCTGTCCTGTGAGGTCAGGCCTTGAGTGCCAGCTGTGAGTGCTCCCGCGCCCAAGGGCAGTGTAGCGTCTACACCTTTCCCCAAGGGGGAGACTGAGGCTCCCAAAGGCGAGGTGCCTTGGATGCCACATGGGTTGGGTCTACCCAGGCTGCCACTGGGGCCTGTTCCCTTGGTCTCATGACCCAGATTCCTGGGATGAGCCTATCCCTTCCGCCCTTAGCCTCCCCGTCCTGACAGACCTGCAGGTGGCAGCCTGTGCCAGCCCCCGCTCACCAGACACCTTGGCGAGGCTGGCCAGGCCCCGGTAGGCATTATTCACCAGCTGGACCCTGCCCTGGTTCGGCCAGATGTTTCGCAGGAACAGCACCACCACCTCTTCCAGCTGCTCCTCCCTGATGCAGCCTGCGGAGGACGGCCTTGTCACCCCCAGCCGTGGCTTGGGCGGCCTTCTGCACCCCAGGCCCCAGTCCACTCACCCAGTAAGGACAGCAGCCAGAGCACTGCACAGCCAGCCTCAGCCATGTCCACATCAGCAGGGTGTGTGGCCAGCACCTGGGCGACCAGGGCCGGGAATTTTTCCAAGAGCTCTCTGTTCATGATGACGGCTGGGTACGGGACACCCAGAGCTCGGGCATGTGTTGTGTCCCTGCCCCCCACCCGTTCCCCTGTCCAGCACCACAGAGCAGAAACAGGAGAGGATGTGTCCTCAGAGATAGGAAACAGGGCTTTCCACCACCATGACCCTGGAGGGAGGGGACTGCCCGCCAACCTGGAGCCTCCTCCCTGCCCATGAGTCCAAGGCAGGGCCTGGTGGCGGGCAGCATGGCCGGGACACAGCCCCGAAGCCTGGGTGTCCACACCCCCTCCTCCCCTGCCCTGTCTCCTGCTGCCTGGCTAAGTGCTGAGGAGCCCTTGGGGCCTTGTCACCCTCACGGGCCCAGCAGTGTGGCAGTGGAACCACGGAGGGAGGGCTCACCATCCACCAGGAGCACCCAGAGCAGGCCCAGGCCGCTAAGGCAGACGTCCCGGTCCTGGAGGAAGCTGTTCAGATGCTGCAGGAGCAGCACGCACAGCCCGGCCTTCTGCAGCTCCTGGGACACCGACTCTGTGGGCAGCGAGGGCCAGAGTCCTCCAGAAGCCTCCCTGGGCACCACTAGCCTTGGGCATCATGGTCCCCTCTGACCCACACTCCTGTCCTTGTGGAACCCAAGATGGGGACACAGGCTGGCCCTGGGGGGACTGTCCTTTCCTGGGGCCACCACCCACCCCATTAGCGGCCAGGTCCAGCTGCTGTGGAGCCCCACTACAGGGCTGGGCTCTGCCTTCCTAGAGGGGCGCTGTCCCCTTCCAGTTGCTGGTCACCCCACATCGGGCTGGCATGGCTGGACAGGGGGCAGGGAGGAATGTGGAGGGCGTTACTGTCCCTGTGAGCCCTTGGTGACCTCTTGTCCACCGGGCCCAGCCTGGCTGCAGCTCAGAGCCCAGCAGAGTGGATGCCAGTGTGCAGCCCGGGCCTGCACATTTGGGAGTGGCCCGGTGGTGTCATAGTCAGGCAGACCACACGGGCCACGCAGCTGAGTCACCTACAGCAGGCTGCAGGCCTGGCTCCCCGGTGCGGGCAGGGCGGGTACCCACCGTGGCTGGAGATGATGGTGAGCAGGCTGTAGGCCTTGATGATGAGCTGCGTCGAGTCAGAGTGGGTGCGCAAGGTGCCCAGCAGCACGGAGCTGAAGGAGCTGTCCCAGGACACCTTGGCATCTGTGCCCTGCACCAGCGCTGTTCGGCCAGAGAAGAGCCCAGCTCAGCCTGGGGCTGGGTGAGGGGCAACATCTCCACCTGGGTTAGGACACCCAGGTCCATCCTGGCCCTAGGCCCTGGGTGGGGAGCAGAGCGCCAAGGGCCAGGGCTGTGGCATCACAGCCCATGCTGTCATCCAAGAGCCTGCAGCTCTGTCACGAGCGAGAGTGAACCCTGGACACAATTTAGGCCCGGCTGTAGCTCTTTGGCATTGTGCTTGCCTAGCATGAACGAGGACTAGGGTTCCTTGCACCACACAAAAAATAAAAAATAAAAACCTAAGCGGCTTATGGAAATTGAGCCCTCAGTATTAAAGCTGGAAAGGTAGCTACCTCAAGGTTTAAAAGTCGAAGTCAGTGAAGCCACCTCTTCATGAATCAGAGCTGTAGGCGCCATTCTGGGCAGTGCCAGGCCCCACCGGGGGACACAGCCCACCCTCCCGTTGTCCAGCCTTGGGCCGCGTCTCCAGACTCCAGGCCCACAGCACAGCGCCTGGGCTAGGGCCGGCGATGCCCACCTTGGCCCAGGGTGCGCAGCAGCAGGGTGCAGGCACACAGCTGCACGTCCAGGTTCCTCTCATGCTGCTTCATGGTGGTGACCACCACCTCCACCAGCTCCGGGGGCCATGGCAGCCCTGCAAGGCGGGGTGCACAGGACATGGGGGCCGGAGTAGGTGAACAGAAGGGCAAAGGAGACTGGGCCAAGTCTCCTGAGTGTTTGATCCAGGCATCTTTCTTTTTTGCTTGCAGTGCCAGGGACAGAACCCAGGGCCTTGTGCATGCTAGGCAGGCGCTCACCACTGAGCTCCGCTCCCAGCTCAAAAGTTGCCGTGTTTACTTTTTTTAAGAGATAGGGTCTCACTATGTTGCTCAGGCTTCTCGAATTCATGGGCTCAAGTGATCTTGCCTCAGCCTCCTGAGTGCTGGGGACAGAGATGCCAGCACTACACCAGGCCTTGCCCAGGTGTGTGCTCCCAGCAGCCCCCAGAGGCAGATCCTTCCTCACAAGCCACACTTCTCAGATGAGAAATTGGGCGGCAGCCAGGCACCACCAGCACTCAGGAGGCCGAGGCAGGAGATTGCTGTGAGTTAGAGGCCAACCTGTTCTGCACAGTGAGACCTTGTCTCAAAAAAAAGAAACAGAAAATAAAAGAGGGCTGGCAAGAGGCAGGCACGTGCCCTTCAACAGCCAGCCACCCAGGCCGAGGCCCATTTGCAGGCTGTGTGGCATGGGTCCAGTCCCCACGCCCCTCCTGCCTCGTCCTCCTGGCCCTCCCCTTGTGGGGAGCATACCTTGGGCACAATGCTGGCACCAGGACACAGAGCCACAGCACACTGGCCCTGAGTGAGGCAGGGATGGGGCAGGCCGCTGCATAGGGGACCCGACAGCCTCTGTTTCCCCAGGAAGGAAAGCTCTCCCCACCCTGCCCACCTTGCTCCATCCTGCTCCCGACTCTACGGAAAGGGGGTGCAGGGTCCAGGACAGCGCTATCACCCCGAAGCCCCAGTCACCTGGACAGACCTCAGGGACCCTCAGTACCCCCGGGGGTGGACGGCTGGGGGTGTGAACGTGACGCTGGGGCAGGTGAGAGAGCCCAGGTGTTTTCTTTTCTTTGAAACAGTCTCATATGTTGCCTAGCTTGATCTGAAACTAACAGTCCTTCTGCCTCAGCCTCCTAAACAGTTGGCATTACAGGTGTGCCCCATTATGTCCATCTAAGTGGAGAGAACTTGTGACAGCAGGTTTTGGCAAAAACACTTTAAAAATCACTGAGGAGCCAGGCATGGTAGCCCATGCCTGTCATCCCAGCAGTCGGGAGGCCAAGGCAGGAAGATCCCACGAGTTCGGGGCCAGACTGAACTATGTAGGGAGACCCTGTCTCCCAAAATAAAAAAAAAAAGTCACTGAGATTGCCAACATCCATGAGGAAGAGAGGAAGGGTGCCCTCGGGACTCAGGTGAGAGCTGGTGAGTCCGTGCGGGCAGCCTGCAGCCTCCCCCAAGGCAAGCACTCAGGCTGCAGGTGCACGCCCGCCTGTCCAGCAGGGTGCTGTTCGCGGGGGTGGCTGATGACAAAAGGCTCGAATGCCCATCACAGAGGCAGAGGGGCAGACCCACCCCGCCCTTCCCCACCCGCCAGGTGGCAGCGGGAGAGTTCCAGGTGCCTGCTGTCCGAGCAGGTAGCAGGGGCACAGCCCTCCGGGGAGCATGAGTGGACTCGGCGTTCCCTACCAAGCTGGTCCTCGGGCATGGTCATGAGCTTCTTCATGGCTCTGAGCTGGACCTCAGGGTGGCTGGAGAACGTCTGCATGAGCTCTGTGGGGGACAGAGAGGCAGAGGGCCTGCTGAGGGCGGGGCGCCACACCCTCAGGCTCAGCAACGGGACTCTGCTCCCCACCCTACAGATGGACCTCTGAGGACGGGAGGCACACAGGAGAAGCGGCGAGGGCTGCGCCCAAGGACTTGAAGCAGAGCAGCAATTTGTGTCGCAGGGATGGAGGGGAAACTGGGCCGGGCCCTGCCTGGACCCAGCAGTGCTGGGCTCTGGTGGAGGAGAAGGGCTGTAACGAGAAGCAGGCCTGCTGGGCCGGACACCGGGAGGCATGGACATGGGGCCACAGCAGCTGCCGACTCCCGCCGCTGTCCCCTCCATCACCTAGAATGCTGGCCATGTTGCCTTCCAGCAGCACGTTGGTGACGGCCTCGGGTATCACCGGCCCATGCAGGGTCGAAGACTTGAGCGAGATCCTCCCAAAGGAGATGCGGATCACATCCCTAGCACAAAGGCAGAGACAGCCAGCTGCATCCCGCGGCCCTTGCAGTGGCTTCCCCTCTGGTCTCCGGCCTCCTGAGTTGGAAGCTGTCCAGCTGCATCTCTCATGATGCCAGCATGCCCAGCAAGTGCCTGGCACTTCCACACGCAAGGACTTTCTCTGCAGGGGCACCCCTGGGCCCTGGACTTTTGCCTTTGGGGCCCCTTCCTCCAGAAACTGCAACTGTGTAGGTTTAGAGACTGACGCTTTTCTCATCTGCTGCTTTTCTTGTCTGATTCTAAAGTAGAATTAAAACTTTTTCCTGGACTCGGGCTGCCCCCTACCCCACCGTCCTGGTGGAGATGTGGTCAGCTTGCAGTGTGCGGTGCTGTGCCGTGTGGACAACCAGGCTGGGCAGCCTGACGGTGTTCTCAGGTGCAGGAAGGCCAGTGCCCTGACTGTATCAGGGTGGAAAGAAGCTGAAAGGTAACTGTCAGACAAACCGTGCCCTGAGCTCACGTGATCGTTATCCGGTCCGAGGGGTTGATCTGCAGCATCGCAGGCAGCAGGAGGGAGAAGGTGTCTGCCAGTGGGACCTGCCTCTCCTCGATGGTTTCCAGTATGGCCCGCAGGCCATCTGGCTGCTGGTGCAGCGACTTCCGCAGGTACATGGCTTCCGTTCCCTGCAAGGACAGAGAGCACTGCTTTGTGTGTTCCTGAAATGGGGTTAAAGCTAGGCCTGGACACAGGCAGAGGTGGTGCCAGGACCAGGAAAACCCTGAGGGAATCAGAGGCCAGCCGGAGGCCACAAGAGCTCCTCTGTGGAGACAGAGGTCAGAGGGGGACGGGACAACATGTCTTGTCCTATCTGGACCCAGCTTGTAAGAGGGCCCAAAAGTGGCAGTGCCCAAGATCACCAGGGTGGGGCTTCTCCTGGAGTCTTCCATGGACAGGGAGGGCACAGTGCTTCTCAGAGGTGCAGCCTGGGGTCTGGGAGAGGCAGGGGACACTGGGGTCCTGCCAGATACTTGTGCCTGGTATGGAGAGAGAAGCTGGGGCTATCCCTGCTCTTGGGCACCGTGGGCACTGGGCCTGGCACTCCTACCTTTTCCTGTAGCCTGGCTGTGCTCCATAGCCATATAAAGGCCTGCCTGGCCCCTTGTTCCCTCCTCTCTTCCCAGGATGTCTGGGAGCTTGATCCAAGCAGGGACAAGACAGAGCCACCCACCAGGATGCAGAGAGACAGCTGGCACCTCAACCCTGTGGCTTGTGTGATGCGCAGCCACTGGGTTTGGACCCATGCTGCAAGCCACAGCCCCCAGCATCCTGAATTCCAGCAGGGCACCCAGATGGGGTATCCTTGGCCATTGGGCAGGGCCAGGGAGAGTGTGACCCTGCAGCCACCATATCCTCATTAGCATCCAGCAGGAGTTGAGCAGGATACTTGGATGGGAGGCAGCTTACATTCAGGAAGGAGCAGCTGGCTAAGTCAAGGATGATGCAGCCCAGGGACCAGATGTCTGACTTCTGGCTGAAGGAGAAGCTGAGGGCTTCTGGGGCCATCCAGGACTTTTTACAGGGGTCTGTTGGCAAGAAAGGAGGGTCCATGCAGTCCTGTGCTCCCTGGGAGCAAAGCAGGGCAAAGCCATGCTGACCTGGCTCTCTCCCCTTCCTGTGCCCCTATAAGCAGCTTGAGACAAAGGCTGGGGAGAGGGGAGAGGGTCTTGCTGTTGGCGGGGAGAGGCCCCTGCTCAGCTAGGCCTCTGCCTGGGTCTCAGCCAGGGAGAATGCCCATCCTGGTCAGTGCCCACCAGGCCGCCCAGGTGCATTTCTGTGCCCACGAGGCCACAGAGCAGGAAGAGGTATGTGCACAGAAAGCTCACATCTGCCCTTCTTTCAACATCTCCTTCCAAATGTCAGGAACCTGGGGCAAAGTTCCAGCTCCTCCAGTTTCTAAACCTGAACCCCAGAGAAAGAACCCAAAGAGCAGGGTCCTCAGGTCAGCCTTGTCAGTCCTTGTTCAGCCTCAGGCAGCTCTTCCCTCTGTAGACCTCCATCTTCCAGCCACACAGCTTTTCTCCAAGGTTCCTGGCTTCACCTTCAGTCAGTCCATCCATCTCTTTATACACACCTATCCATCCATCTATTCATCCTGGCATCCACCCACCAATATATCCTACTGCCCATCTATCCATCTTACAACCAACCCATTTATATATCCAGTCACCCATCCATCCAACCATTTACCCTTCCTACCATCCACCCATCCATATTTTCTGCCATCCATCCATCCATCCACTCATTTATCCTACCTTGCACCCATCCATATATCTTACCACCCACCCACCTGTCCACCTATCCTGTTATTCACCCATCCATGGATCTACCCTATCACCTACCCACCATTCACCCATCCACTCATCCATAGATGTACCCTACCACCCATGTATCCACCCACCCACCCAGCCCCTGTGTTCTAAGGACAGAGTATCTCCAGCCATTGCTACCCCAGGGCTCTGGCATTCTGCCCGTGGCTGTTCTGCCCACTGGGGACAGCTGTCACAGGATTGAGGCCCAGCTCCATTTTCCCAGCACTCTTTTCAAATAAAGAGAACTTGTCCCCCATGCCCACCCTCACCACCTCCTGGGCCATTTTAGGCCTCGCTACTATACCATGCATAGCCAGTGCCCAAGCCCCATGGGCCCTCTGCCCCCCATTTCAGCCTCCTTCTTTATGGAGCTTTATTTTCCCCAACAAGAGCTAACAGTTTCATGGACACCACAGCCGGTACCCAGTTCCACAGGGCCCTTCCTCTCTGGTGCTGGACCCTGCGCCCCAGACCCATGGCGGGACTGCTGACAAGTTGCGGCCTAGGCGCGGGGGTCTCTAGAGTCCATGCATGGCATGACAACCTTTGGGTGGACAGGCTCAGTTCCCACAGTGGCCACCCCTCACAGCACCCTCTCCCAGCCCCGGGGGACCCTGACCACCTTCCTCCGAGCGAATGTTCCACTTGGCTCGGTGGGTCATCAGCGTGTGGCAGCCCAGGTCCTGCAGCTTGCAGTGGTTCTGGCTGACCAGGGCGATGTTTGAGGGCTTGAGGTTCCTGTAACCCAGAGGTAGCACCTGAGCCCGCAGGGCAGCCATGGGGACCCTTCTGGGGGCCACATGTGCTCAGGCTACTCCTGATCCCCCATTCCTCCCCTCTCCTCCAGAAAATGCCCTGTCTCAGCCCACTTGGTAAACATCATTTTCTAGCCACACAGGCTTGTAACCCCAGCACTCTGGGAGTCTGAGGCAGGAGAATCCCAAATCTCAGCTAGCCTAGCATGTGCTTCTGACAGGTCTCAACTACGCTGTCCCAGAGAACTGATTCCACCACTGTGTGTGACTGATGAGGGTAATGTGGGACAGATGAGGTTAAATTGAGTGTCCCCTTTGTGCACAGACACCTCGTCTTAATAAGATGCATATGTATGGGATTGGAGCGGTTTCACAGCCCCTTCTCACCTGGCTCCCCCTGCCCCAGGCTCCCCATGGGCTGCACATCTGCCTGGCAGCACCGTTCTGCCCTCCTGCAGCCGCCGTCTGGGTGAGCCCCCCACGTCACCTGTGCAGGATGTCCAGGCGGTGCAGGTACTCCAGTGCGTCCAGCACCTGGACCAGCATGCTCCGCAGCCACTGGGGAGAAGAAGGGACACCGGCATGGACCAGTGGCCAGCAGGACAGTGGCTTGCTGGGGATACCAAGTGCCCGGGGTTCCAGCCCACGTGGTGCCCGCCCACGGAGGCCTCTCGGCGGCCCACACTACACCACACAGTGGGAGCTCAAGGCAGAGGCTCTGCCAGGAACCACAGACTCCGAAGCCTTTCTGTTCTTCAAGTGAAAGAGCATGAGATAGGCGGCTCCAGAAGCCCTCCGTGTGACGTGATCCGTCTGGCCACCGGGGCAGGGGTTTCAGGGGATCCTAGGATCCCCAGACCCGTACTGCTGTCTCTGGGCACTCAGGAGTCAAGGAGTCTGGGTGCCACATGCCCAGCTTCCTCAATACTAACAAGTCCTTCAGGGTCCTGAAAATCTGTGCCTCCCAGATGCCCAGAAAAGATACCCAGAGCCGCCTCGAAGCTCCTTCCAGAACCCAGCTCACACCCCCAGAAGGAGCCGCCTCACACCCTCAGGTGGAGCCGCCTCACACCCTCAGAGTGGTGCTCAGAGAAATGCAGGTAAAGTCATGTGGGCCGGGTCCTAGACCCAAACAGGAAAGTGAAGTAACCCCTACTGCAGAAGAAAGCAGACAGAGCCCCACGACTGTGGTGTGAGGAAGGCTGCTGCCACCAGGATGCAGGAGAGGCTGAGGCCAGTGAGGGAAGACATCGATCATCTGGATTTCACCACCACAAGGCCTCTGCCCATCACAGAATTCCATTAAGCAAGTGACCTGGCCGGCTGAGGAATAAGGACGGGGCTGATGCCCTGACACTAAAGCCCATAACGTGCGAAGCACTCCTGGAAGCTGGGCGCACACCTGTAATCCCAGCATTCTGCGAGGCTGAAGCAGGAAGACGGAAAGCTCAAGCCCAGCCTGCATAACTTAGTGACTTAGCAAGACCCTGTCTCAAAAAAATAAAATTATATAGGATCAAGCATGTAGCTGAGTACAAATGTCCTGGGTTCAATTCCTAGTGCCAAGAAACAGAACTAGGCATCAGTAAGAAAAAACCACCTAAATGTTTACATGGGTAAAATGCCTGAACAGGCACAGAAGAAATCCAAATGGCAGGTGCAGATTAAAGCTGGAAGAAACTATCACAGCTCCCATCCATCAGCCCTGAGTAGAAACAAGTGTGGGCACTGGGACCGGCATAGCTGGGGTCAGCTCCAGGAGGGACACTCAGCACCTCAGGCTCAGGACATGACGGAGTCAGGCAGCGACATCCACTCAGACACGCGCCACTGCACACTGCCTGGGCCCACCCTGGTGCACTTCAGGATCGCTGAGTCCTGGTGAGCCCGGGACCCTCTGGAGAGCGCATGCGTGCTCATCACTGTGCACCTCGGGTCTGTGGCCACTGTGGTGCACACACCTGGCTGTACACACCTGGGGGACGCAAGGCCGGGCTCAGGGGCGCCTGCCCTCCCTCTGCCTCTCGGTCCCTCTGTGGGGCTGTAGGGTCGAAGGGCTCACCTCAGAGTCAATGGTGGCTTTCTCCTTCCTCTTCGCCTCAATGACGTCCTGGAAGCTTTCTGGGCTGTACTCCATGACCAGGCAGAGGAACATGGAGGAGGCCTGTGGGTCACAAGGCCCTCAGATGTTGTCGCCTGCATGGGGCCCCTTCCCACAGCCCCCATCCACAGGCCTATGGGGCAGCGCTGTCTGGGGGCTATGTCTCTCCCAGCACTCCAGGATCCATCCACACTGGCCACCACTGGCCAGTGACCACGTGACCCCTGGGCCGGGGTGACCCTGCCTATCCTCTGTGGGGCCTCACTGCCCGGGGCCCAGCAGATGTGGCAGGGCTGCCTCCGGGCTCCCTCTGTGGTGAAACGTCCCCTTAGCTTTCTGCCCCTCACTGAGCGCTCTGGAGTGCTCGGGAGGTGTGTGGGGTGCACACAGTGTGTCCCACCCCAGGGCTTCCTCAGGGCCCAGCTGATGGGGAGGCACGGTGAGGGAGTGGCCCAGGGGGGGTCACTGAGGCGATGTCCTGACACGCAGCACTGGAGTCCCCTCCACCTGCCAGTGCCCACTCAGCAGCCCTCCCGCCACCTCAGTCCCATCTGGAAGGCTCTGGCTCTACATGAAGCCAAGAAGCGGCACCACCTCTGAGACACGGGGCTCAGCTGCTGTGAAAGCCAGCTGTTAGCCAGCTGTGCCACCCTGGGGAGCTGTCTGTCCTCTCTGAGCCCCACCAGGACAGAAGAGTGGCGCTTCCAGCCCCGTGAGTCTCCCGGAGCACCGTGATGGGCGAGAAGCTGGGTGATGACATGAAGAAGTCTGGGGCCAGGACCACTAGGCGGCTCCCTGGGGCCACCCGTTCCACAGGGTCAGACCTTCCAGAGGCACCGACTTGCTCTGACTCCAGCTGTGGGCCGAACCAGGGGGTGCCCCCACACAGTGCAGGGGACCCCTGCCCACCCTACCCACCTGCTGCCCAGCCACACACTAGCTGGGCCCCCCGGGCCCTGCCACCTCGCCTCAGGCCCTTCCTCTGCCATGTGAAGCTGGGGCTCACCGGACACTTGGTGTGAGCCTGTAGGATGGTCCCCAGCCCAGCAAGCGCCCCGTCATTGTGGCCGTGGCTGGAGTCACTGCCGGGCTACAGCCTACTGGGCAACTGCCAACCCTCCTGACGCACCTCACTGTCCCACATCTGGAAGACCTCCTCGTACGTGGAGATGTAGGGGTGCTGGAGCTGCAGCAGCGGCCTTAGCTGTGGGGTAGAGCGGGGCGCAGGGAGGTCAGGGGAGCAGCTTGCTGCCAGGGGGCCGGCACAGTTGCCAGCTGCAGGGCGGGCAGGGCAGCGAGTGGCCAGGGCTCCTGTCCCCAGCATGTGCAGCTGTGCTGTGTGACGGAGACTGAGCCTCCCGGCATTGCCTGAAAGCAGTGCTGGCTCGTGGGTGAGTGTGTTCGTAGCATGGGCTCGGTGGCGGTTCCGGGGTCCCATTCTCCGCACCTCAAGAAAATGAAACTGAACTGGAAAGGGAGCAGTGTGGACTGCACCTCTCAGCCAGAGGCTGCAGGGAGCATGGGGTGAGGAGTGGGAGACACAGGAGGGTAGTGTGCCCAAGGGCAGGGTCCACGGAGGGGCAGTGACAGTGACTGCGGGGTGTGGGGGCTGCAGGCACCGCCCACATCCTCCTCCCCGTGTGTCTGTCCACGCTCAGTCACACTGTGGACAACAGGACCCCAGCTGGCGAAGGACGGGGGTGGCAACTGCGGAGAAAAAGACCACGTGACCGGAAGGGAGGGTACACGTTTCACACACCCCATGATAACGCTAGAAAGGCAATGAAACACTCACTATTCAGGTCTGGGCACAGCGGCACACATCTGTAACCCCAGCTCCCTGGGAGGCTGAGGCAGGAAGATTGAAAATGGGATGCCAGACTGGGTAGCTTAGCAAGACTGTCTCAAAAAACAAAAATTCTTTTTTAAAAAGGCTGAGTGTTGCCCAACATTCTGTGGGTTCAGTTCCTACTACCTCACACTTACAAAAAGAAAACCCTTCTGAACCTTTTCTATTAAATTGATAATTGCCAGCCAGGTATGGAGGCTGAGGTGGGAGGATTGCTGTGAGTTTGAGGCCAACCTGGACTACATAGCAAGACCTTGTCTCAAAAAACAAAACAAAAACAAATGAAAAAACCACCACAAAATTGATAACTGCCATTATTGTAAATAAGGATGTGGCCACTAGTCAGTCCTGGATGGTAGTTATGGGTGATTTACATTTTCTTTGGTAAACAATTCTGTACTTTCCAAATTTTCTACAGTAACTAATATTTTCGTAATTGAAGAGAAAAAGCTTTTTTGGGGGCAGTGCTGGGGCTGGAGCCCAAGGCCTTCTGCCTGCCAGGCAGTGCTCTGCCACCGAGCTGCACCCAGCCTGAAGAGAATCACTGTGAAGGCCGTTGGCGGATGAGTGACCACAGCAGCACTCCCCCATCTCCTGTGCTCACCGTGTTCCCAGCTGTCAGCACCTGCTTTGCTGGGGCTTTCTGTGACCCGGGGAGGACTGGGTCTGACCACCCCCCATCGCTTCACCCGCCCCCAGGAGAGGGACGGAGCAGAGGCTCTGGGAGACACACTCCATTCCTCTAGAGAGCAAACTGCCCCGATTGTTACCTCCTCCAGGGCCTGGCTGGCATGATGATGGTCAATGCACTGCACCTGCAGGGGCAGAGGAGCCCAGGTCAGTGACAGCGTGGTGAGCTGCCACCACCACCACCAACAACCACCCGGCACCAGCACCGCCACCTCCATCACCACCGTCATCTCCATCGCCACCACCTTCAAGAGCAGGGGAGGCCAGCCCACACACACTGAAACTTAAAAACGCCCGGAAAGAGGGCTGGGGAATGTAGTTCACTGGAGCCAAGCCTCCCTCACAAGTGCAAGGTCCTGAGTTTGATATCGGGGCAAAAACAAACAGAAAACAGCAACACCCAGAAATCCCACTCCCAGGAATTTCCTAAGGAAGTCACAGTGTTCACGGAAGAACACTGTTAAGACGTCCATCAGAATTGTTTATACTAGGGGAAAACTGAGAATGAGCTAATGCTCATCCTCCAGGAGGGGACTGGCTGGCCAGCTTCGGCACCCGCACATGATGGGAGGCCACAGAGCCACCGACTGGGAGAAGGGGACGCTCTCGTAGGTGATGCAGGGCGATGTTCACCATTCATTAGGTGAGGAAAAACTACCAAATGCCAATTTCAACTATAGCATTCTTGTAAAAAACAAAGAAGTTTAGAGATGCTTAGAAAAAAGGCTAGGAAGTTACATGAACTCCTACCTACATGGCTCCCCAAGAAAACCTTTTCAAAAGTTCCTTAACTCAGTGGCCCTGAGCTACCCTGCTAGACCAGCTGCTGACCCCACAGCCAGCAGCAAAACAAGGACGGCCAAGGCCCGCTGCCTGGCTGGGGGGCTGCTGAGCTGCAGAGACACGAGTCCCAGGAGGCCCACCCACCTACAAGGCCAGCCCCGGATGCCACTGTCCCCCCAGGAGTGTGCCAGGGACACTGACAGAAGCGCCTCTTGCTCAGACACTGCCCTGGGGACACAAAAGGGTGTGCCCCTGCAGGCTGCAGCCCACCCCACTGCTGAAGGGGTCCCCTGTCCTGCCCTCAGCCCTGTGGGACCATGGCTTGTCCCTCTCTCTGGGCCTGGCTCCCTTCTGGAAAACAGGCAACCTTGTACTAAGGAGCATCGTGTCCCCCAGAATTCAAATCTTCTTGGAAACTGTGTGGTCCTGGCAATGGGGCACCCCAAACTTTACTGTCTGGCTGTAAAATGGAACCCCTGTTGCGCTTGCCAGTGATGACGGGACAGTCAGTAACAGACACGTGGTGGTGTGGATGAGCAGGTGATGGGCGGCTGTGGCTGGTGAAGCAAAGTAGCATTCCTTCCCCAGCAGGGTGGGGGCCAAGGCACGCAGCCTGGCAAGTCTCATGCCACGGTCCCATCTACCCAGCTAGGTGTGCCTCCCGCCTGCTGGGAAGTCTTTCTCTAACCGGGGCATGAAGAGCTTCCCTTTAGCAAAACCATGGCCACAGGACTTCCCCACATGGGTCTCAGGGCTTCACTCTGACCTGTTTTATCACATGCTTGACTTTGGTTTTCGTTTCTTCCACCACCACATTCACCCCCAAAGCGCCAGGACTCAGCTCCTGCAAGATCTGCCAGGAAGGGCTGTCAGTGAGCACCTTCCAGCAAGCACCCGACTCCCGACTCCCACCCCCGTCCAGCCCTCCCAGCTCCCCCGTGGCCTGGCCGGCAGAGGAGGTGTCTCCTGGATCTGCTCTGCAGGAAATCGCCCAGGAAGGCCTAGCAGCCCTCATTGCAAGAGCCCCATGCCATCTCTCCGAGGTCAGTTCTGGGCCTCCTTCTACAACCCACGCCCTTCCCTAGCTTGCAGGGAGGACACAGGCACTCAGGAGCACACCTGCCCGTATCCACTCTCTCTGGACTCCAGTGATCCCAGCATTCACCTCCAAACTGAGCATCCAAATAAGAAGGTGCCACCATGGTCAGAACTGCCCTACACAGTCTGCATGACCGTTGTTTCCATGTGAATGCTGGAGGAAACTGAGGCACCAGGAGCCTGTGGTGGTGGAACTGATAAGTGGAACTGCGTAGAGTGGATCAAAATCTAGGGCCAGCCCGAGAGAGATGGCCACCACGGCAGAACTCTGCAGAGGGCTGTGGGCTTGAGGAGGGCGGCGGGATGGCTGATGCTGACATGTTACAGGGAAAGGGGAGACGCAGCAGAGGGGATACGGGGTGGAACCCTGCGTCAGGAACCCTCGGAGTCAAAGGGATTCTGTCACCCAGTGCCTGACCCCTATCAGGGAATAAAGGTCTCTGGCCGGACCCCCAGGCGGCACAGTAAAATGCACAGCTCTGACCGATGTGATTCTTTTTTTCTCTGAAAAGTAACTTTAAACATACGCGGGTCACCAGAAACACATCTGTTTAACCCATGGCCACCTCAGTAGCCCTTCCTCACAAAAAGAATCCTCCCAAAGGGAGGGAAATCGAAGCTACAAATTAGTGAAATTTGTACGACCAGTTAAGGTAACATTAAACGAAGCTGACACCTCAGGCACAGAAGCACTGAAGCGCCACGCACAGCAGGGCGAGGCGGCGCACCCCTGCAACCCCAGCACTTTGAGATCGCAGGTATGAGCCAGCCTGCGCCCTGCGGCAGACGCTCTCAAAATCTAAAGAGGGCCCCTGGGTTCAAAGGTCCTCAGAACCACCAGAAACAAAACCAAAACCATCTGGAGCTGTCCTTTGTGTCCGGCGAGCTGGGGCGCTTCCGGGGCTCCGGCCTGCGCTTCGGGTCCCAGGCTGCCTGTGGACCTAGCCCAGGGACCGGGCGGCAGGAAGGAGCTGTTCTCGCCCTCGGAGTTCATTTCAGGGGGGACAGTGAGGCCAGGAGGTCGCCCGCGGAGGCTGGGGTGCCCTGCCGCGGGAACCGTTACCGCCACGCGGGGGACACTCGGCACCTGGTACTTTTCCATGGGGTCTTGGGGGGCAACGCCCAGCCTCACGGCCGGTAAGCTGGCCATTGGGAGTCCACGCTCAGCAGGGACGCTACGGGAGACCCTCCCCACTTGGGCGTCGCCGTCCGACTCCAGAAACCCAGGTGTCCCCCGCGGGTGGCCCGCCACACTCAGCGGCTTAAAG